TTTTTCTCAGACTGGACATCTTCCAGGCCTGGGCACAATCCTTTCCCCTGGGACAGCTCTTGTTGTAGCTCAGGTGGTAGCTAGGGGATTCTTCATGATCGCTTCTCCCTCCCCTTTGTTCTGTTCCACCCCTTTATATATCTTTTGCATAAGGCGGGAATCCTTTGGCCCTCTCTGGGTTCCCACCCTCTCCTTCTCAATGGAAAGACACCAGGTTAAAAGATGGATTGCAGTTCAGGTGACATGATCACATGTCACTGCAAGACTTCATTACTCACTTGCCAGCACACACGTATACAGGAAGACTCACAGGTAAACACAGCCATCTGCAGACAATGGTCCTTGTTAATAGGAGTCATCAAGATTCCAAACCATCCTTAAGGGCCCACACTTTACATAATTACAATAGGCCCTCAGAGTTATGTTTTATATTTCTAGTTTTAGATACAAGAGTGGTACATTTCTACAAATCGGATGATCACACTCAGTAGATTATAAGCTTTGTAATGATACCTTACAAGAGACCTTTTGCATGAAGCATATCCCAGTTACATTATATTCACTTATGATCATGTTTTTATAAAGCCATATAGACTGCACAATGTCACACCAGGCTCGGAGATGAACATCTGTCATGGGTGGTTTATTTTCTCTTGCCCTCTGCCCAGGGAGTGAATTGCCAGTGCCCTGGAGTGTTTTGTTTTGGCAGGGTTGTGTTGTACACACACACACACACGTATTAAATAGCAACGTTTGCTACTAGCCATAAAACTCTCCAGAGTGTGGCAGCTTTTCTTCTGGGCACTTGTCTTTGCCGCAGGGTGAGCTGGACGGGCCTCTCGAGCGTTGCCCTGAGCCAGCTCCCGTGCACACCTACAAACCTCTAGCCCGAATGAAGCGAAGCGGTGCCGTAACCACGAGCCAGCCGCCCCGCTGGGGCTGGGGGGACCCGTAGCTCGAGCACTGCTGATGCCAGAGCTAGTACTGCAGTGGGGACGTCGTTAGCGCAAGTCGTGGGGCACAAACGCTCTGCTCTGCCCGTCTCTGTGCTGCCCGTGAAATCACCCGCGGGCTCGGCAGTGGTTCTGCAGCGTGGATCGCTGGGCTCAGTCGAGTGCCGCACCTCGAGCTGGCTGGGACCACAAACCCCTCTGGGCCTGGAGTGTTGTTACATTACTAAGGGGGGGGGCACTTTGTAGCATGTGCTGACTGGCCTCATTGCACCCACCAGGTGCTCCCTGGATCTCCCCATATCCTGCCCTTCCCCCACCCCACAGGCTGTCTGATGCCACCTTCCTCTACTTCCCCATTGCAGGACTTCCTGCAACCACCCCCAAACTTCCCCCTGGCAGGGCTTCCCCTCGCTCTCCCTCAGTTCCTGTCACGCAGGCCCAAAGCAGAAGGCCACAGTTCCAGGCACAGACACAATGTTCATTGGGGTTACCAAGTAACTACAGCCAGAGCTCTGCACACCAGCAGAGCTTTTCCCATCCCCCCTCCTCTTTCCTATCAGGCTTAATCAGACCTGTCGTGCCTGCCCCCGGCCCCACCCCTTACAATTTATGGCCATGTTCTGTTCTGGAGAATCATGAATCTGGGGGCTTCATCAGCACTTCTTCTTGTACGGGGTAAGGAGGGAGGGTGTGTTTCAGCCAGGCATGGTCATTGTTTCTTTGGCTTTTAGCCTTTCTTATGACACACACACACACACACACACACCTCCCACCCCCCCGACTGGTTGCTTGACCTTGGCTTGGGAGAGGAGTTGAGCAGTCTTCCAGTGTCCGCTCGTACTTCAAACTCCCACCATCCCCAGCCAGACTTTTACGCTCTTCCTTCTCTTGTCTCACCATGTGCTATAAACCCCACCTGGCCACAGGTAGATGCAACACACAGAGTCTTTGTTCACCCGTGTTAGTGAGGACGTAAACATATCAAAAGTCAAACAGGCAAACGAACCCCAAATTCTACCTCAGGCTAATAAACTAAATTACCATCACTAACCCCCCCGGCAGGGGTTCTCTGCGCCCCCAGCTCTGTGCCCTCAATAGATATTTCAGAGCTGTGGCACTGTTACTAGGCCAAGCACAAGCTGTGACAATCACCGGCTACCTAAATCGTGCTCACTGCACTCCCCCCTCCCCCCGCCACCATCTGTTTCAGTCACCGGTTGCCACATCGTTATCAGGACTTGTTTGCCTGCCCCTCGACTGTTGCCACAATTTGAGCCTGTGGGTCGGGTGGGGCAGGTACCATCTGTGCAGGCACCCACACAATGGCGCCCCTAGGCAGGGTTATAATGCAAACACTGGGGTCAGTTCCATGTAGAGAGGGTGGGGCCAGATCCCGCTTGCTGCTGTGAATTGGGGCAACTCCATTGAAATCACTGACCCTAGATCCCCAGCTGGTGAAATTAGCCATTGCTCCACTGCCGTGGGGTCAGATCCCCAGCTGGTGTGAATCATCCTTAGCTCCCAGGAGTCAGTGAGGACAAACCCCCAGCTCTGATTGGTGATGTCTGTTTATAGATTTCAGAGGAGCAGCCCTGTTAATCTGTATCCGCAAAAAGAACAGGAGTTATGCATCCGAAGAAGTGGGCTGTAGCCCACGAAAGCTTATGCTCTAATAAATCTGTTGGTCTCTAAGGTGCCACAAGTACTCCTGTTCTTTCTGTTTATAGAGTACGGTAGTTACAGCCATGCCTGAATTGGCAGCAATGAATTCGCTTCCCCTTATGCGAATAGTTACAAGAAGTCAATATGGTTCCATTTGAGAACCTGGAATATCTCGAGTGGGTGGGTCCTACCCCCTTTCTGCCCCTGAGGGTTGCCCCATGAAGTCCCTGCACCCCTGGCAGGACAGAGACCGGGAGAGCAGCAGACACAGATTCCCAGCTGAGCCCTGTGACGGGGCAGAGCTGCCAGCTGAGCAGATCTGAAGGGAGCGACTCCCACAGCAGCCAGCACCAGCTGCTTCAGCGGGAGGGGCAGGACACCCCCTGTACTGGACAGAGATGGAATAACCTGCCCCGGGGAGAGATTCTTCCCTCACCCCCATTGGTTAGAAGCTGGGGCTTGTACCTTGTCCTGGAGGGTTTTAGAGCCCTTCCCACTCCAGGTTATTTTGTAATATTGATGGTTATAACTCAGGAGGGTCCCATTAAACAAACAGCCCCCTCCTCTCACAGCTCCTCTCGGGTATTAGCAGAGCCGTGGGGTAATGGGGGGTGGGGGGGGGTAACGCCTACCTCAGCCAGCTGGGAATTGCCCGATAGTCCCA